TCAACTTCCTTTGGGTTGGCTTGTTCCTGCTGAATTGAATGATGTTGATTGACTTTGGGACCTCCGCAGAACCATCCCGTTTGCGGTTATGTCCTCTGTATTCGTCGTATAGCCCTACACCAAAGAGCTCCCTACTTCTAGGTTGGCTTTAGGTCATTTTCGCCACCCTGAAACTAACCTGCACCCTTTACTAAACCTAAGGGTCCAAGGACCCAAACAAAAGGGTTTTAGGGCCCAAATACTATAATATAATGGTATTTGGCCCTGAAATCCTATGCTTGGACCCTTAGGGAAACCTTTTTTCGATCTAGGGTTCGGGGCGTAGGGTTCAGCATGGTAAACATCTTGCTCCACTCGCGCGAAAGATATGTTAAAGAAAAGGAAATCAGAACTATTACCGTATAATAGGGTTGTATACAGCGTGGATTTGGGCGGCAAGAGTCATACGCAAAGCGAGCACCAGGCCAAGGAAAAAGGTATTTGACGTCCAAATCCTCTTGAAAAAGAGTTTGGCAGGCAGCGTGGATTTTGGTGGCAAGAGTCAGATTCAAAGCCAGCATAGGCCAAGGAAAAAGGCATTTGACGTCCAAATCCCCTTGAAAAAAGAGTTTGGCAGGCAGCGTGGATTTGGGTGGCAAGAGTCAGACGCAAAGCGAGCACCAGGCCAAGGTAAAAGGTATCTGACGTCCAATTCCTCTTGAAAAAGAGTTTGGCAGGCAGTATTAGGGGTTATAGTAGGGAATGAGGGAATATCTTATGTAGGGATACCCAAAAAACAGTGGGTGCAAGATTTCCTGAAACCACCATAGTAGTAAGTACATAAGGCGTCTAAGCCTAAGCTTTCGAGTATGGGCCGGCAACATAGGCCCGAAGGCCTTTTCTAGGAAGGCTCAAAACATAGGGCATATACTAGGCATGTAGAGCCCCTAGGACTAAAGGGCCCGTACTAGAGGCCAATGGCTTGATTTTCAGAGGGAACATCAAAAATCCTGAATGTGAACTCTCCCAAATCCGAAACCCTACACCCTAAACCATACCCAAACCCTAAACCCTAAAGCCTAAACCCTAAAGCGCCAACCCTAAACCACCATAACCAAACCCTGAACCCTAAAGCCTAAACCCTAAAGCGTCAACCCTAAACCATAACCAAACCCTAAACCCTAAAGCCTAAACCCTAAAGCGTCAACCCTTAACCATAACCAAACCCTAAACCCTAAAGCCCAATGCCTAAACCATAACCAAACCCTAAACCCTAAAGCCTAAACCCTAAAGCCTAAACCCTAAACCATAACCAAACCCTAAGCCCTAAAGCCTAAACCCCAAGGCCTGCACCCTAAACCCAAAAGAATGCTGACTTGAGCTGGGGGTCCTCCCAGCTGTTTGCCACATGAAAGATATGGCAAGTCTGGATGGTAAACCACCTTGGTTTAGGGTTTAGGGTTTAGGGGTTTAGGGTTTAGGGTTTTAGGGTTTAGGGTATGCCCAAGTAATCTTTCGACTAGGGGTGTACACAGACCAGAGTGATCTGTTTATGGACAGTATGGACAAACGAAGCATTCTATGTAGACATGGAGTTCCAGGAATGACAATAAGAGTGCCGGGGCATATGACACTGTCGCTATATAAGGGTTGTTAGGGCCTAGCTGTACAACGTTGATATTGCATTGGTTCAGGCTTCTTTTTAGGTCTAGGTATTCATGTTTCGCGATACCGGTAAGATTAATGCTGGGCGGCTTTTTCCGGTTTGTCCTACCTGTCCCTAGAGGTTTATGTACATGCAAAGTCTTTGGCTACGGTTCCTACGTGTAGTGTTCAAGGTGAAAAGACTGTTGTTGCAGGTGTGGGAAACTGAGAACAGCTTACGCACCCGGGCTGTTACGAGCCTGGCAAAGTTACTCGGGGCTCAAGAGAGCTCAGAAACAGGGCTGTAGTTTAGGTTTCAAGGTTAACCAGGTTGAATAGAACATGTTATAAGGATTCATAGAAGGCCTACGAATCTTACTTCTCGCTAGGCCCCTGTGAAGCTGTTTGGATCAATTGTTCCTTCGACCGCCACCCAGAAGAATGAAACTCACACGCTTCTGAACACGGGTCTCAAGAACGATAACTATTCAGGCTTCGAGGCATGTGATTTAACAATTTAACATTTTCTTTTCCATTTCACTCTTCATTCTGATGCCCTGAACAATATAAACCCTACCCTTAAGGGTCCAAGGACCCAAATCATAGGGTTTTTGGGCCCAAATGCTTCATAAAATATAAATGGTATTTGGGCCCTAGGGCGGTCATTGGACCCTTAGGGTACAGGGTTTTGCCCAACGCCAAGCCGTAAACCCTCGGTCCGAGTGGAATCTTGGAAAAGTGGCGATGAAATCGCTTGCTTCGTGGAGTCGTTACGTTGGGCATTCTTCACGGGACAAGTCCTGCACTGTAATACCAAAACCCTAAGGCTCCATGTAGGTACTATTTACATGGTTTAAGGCCCAATGTAGGTACTTTTTATAGGGTTAGAGCCCTAGGGAAAGGATCCCATAAGTAGTTGTATAGGGGAGGCTAGCCTAAACCCTTTTACGAGTTCATAATATGGGTGGTTGTCAAAATCATGTCCCCTTTTGGGTACCCTAAATATTAGGTGCCGTATTATAATAGGGATCCACATAGGGACCATAATTTTGACAACCACCCATATAGAAAGCCTACTTTTGTACCATATAGATGCTAGGGGTGAGGAATGGATCCCTGAAGTACCACGTATGGTTTATCCAGTCTATCAGTCCTTCTACTCTGCAGCGGACTCCACCCTGACTTAGGAAGATCCTTTGGGATAATATCCCTCGGCATCTTCAAAGCCGCTTGGCGGGAAATAAGGGTCGGCAGGGACTATCATAGGGATCCAATCGCTTGTAAACCCAGAGCCCTAAACCCAAACCCTAAACCCCAAACCCTAAACCCCAAACCCTAAACCCCAAACCCTAAATCCAAAGCGATTTTTTTCTAACTAGGCATCGGTCAGTCTAGGCCGCTGGGGAGTATGTACAGTGCCCATAGCAAAGAAGGTAGGATCTGTGCTTTACAAACACCAACAAAGGGTTTAGGGTTTGGGGTTCCGGGTTTGGGGTTTAGGCTTTAAGGTTTGCGGCTTTAACCAGGCGACGGTATGCAAACGCAGAAGCCAAACTAAACAATCCTGGGCCAAACACAGCCCTCTTCGATGCATACCTAAAGCGCAGCCTATATCTTAGAAGCCATCTCTCTTAATGTTACCTTGTCCCTATATAAACTGACATCACAAAAGATTCCTACGGCATATACCAAGGCGAGAGGCGTCGGCTCGACCGTGCCGCTGTCCCCATCCTTGGGAAATATGCCGATACGCGATCCTTGGGCCAAGCATGTAGAGTGTGGCCAAGTTACCGAGCTTTCTAGCTCAAACCTGTGAAAAATACTGGGGGTTATGTATACCTCCAATGGTTGAAGCTTGTCCGCTAGCTACTAGCACAGAGGATCCAAGTACCAAATAATTGGGTACTTGGGTGTTGGGTAATAGAAATTATGGTACGTACAGGTTTTCGGTGAGTGCATGATTATTACGTATTTGGACCATTAGGGCTAGGTTGGGGTCTGGAACCTCAGACTGAAACCCTAAACCCTAAACCCTAACCCTAAACCCTAAACCCTAAACCTTAGGGCTATCGAGCAGCTCCGGCGCGTTGCAGGTACGGAGGGAAGGGATCCAACGAATCTTTTCCAATGCCAACCCCATACCCTAGACCCTACCCGGTTTAGGGTTTAGGGTTTAGGGGTTTAGGGTTTAGGACCCCCAAAGGTATGTAAAATAATGGCCTTTATAGCTGCTTCTATAGGCTTAGGGCCATTATTTTACATACCTTTGGGGTTTAGTTAAACCCTAAACCCGTCCCACTCCATACCGGCCACTGAGACGCAACTTCGCTGTCTAGGCCTTTAGGGGTTGGGGTTGCAGGGTCCAAGGCTTTACAGGTATGTATGTATGGGGGTTTTCATCGTCCGAGGGCCTGGGTTTGATTTAATGTGGCAACCATACACTGGGTTTAGGGATTAGGGTAAGTTACCACAATGGGAATATATAGTAACTAGTAGGATTTCCGCAATCCCAGTTTCCTTAACAGCAACCCAGTTTAGGGTTTAGGGTTTCAGTAAACTATCATGAGCCATGCGCTTCCTAGGTCCTGCTATGGCACAGCCCCCCAAAAAGAAATGTGCTAAAGAGGGAACATGGTTCAGACAGAGCCTAAAACCCAGAGGGTCCAGGCAAAAAAACAATTTGGAACTTGGGTTTTGGGTAATCGGAATTATAGTACAGGTTGTGGGTGAGTATGTGACTATTAGGTACTTGGACCCTGAGGGAAACTTAACCCCTCAAACCCCTACACCCCTGAATGGTCAGAGTGCGCTTGGGCAACCGGTATCTTAACATTCCTCAGCACTCCGTTGCTTCCTCCTGTCCTGCTGATCCTTAAGGGGTTAATCTTCCCCTTTCTTCCCACATAACACTGTGGATACAAAAAACCTGCATGACCTCGGGATATACTGAACTCATAATTCCCAAGGTTAGCAAGTCTTTAAGGGTCATTCTGGGTTTTACCCCCTACCCTAAACCTTAAACCCGAAACCCTAAAGCCTGAATCCCTCGTAATTAATTGGCCCTAAAGCCAAGGTACTGAGCTGTTAATGTTTTGCGCACCAACAACGAGGGTTTAGGATTTAGGGGTCTGGGGCCATTGCTGTATGTACTGGCAACGACCGTTTATAACTTCACCAACCGCCAGCCATAGTCTCCATTTGGGAATCCTCCACGGCATTTACGTCTCTTCCGAGAAGACCAATTACTGTGTAGTAGGTTACCAGGTTGCAGGGATCATCTGAATTTGAACCCTAGATCCTAAAATCAAGAGCAGGCCAACTGGACACGTGAATGGACTTCTATAGGGTCTTGAAACATGAAAAATGAGCAGGGCTTCCGTGCGATGCATCGTATTTCCACAATGTCTTCTCCTCAGATTGGAGCTGAAGCTGCACGTGTCCGGGTGCGTTGTCAAGGGCTCTTCTGTAGTTCTTTCTTGGGTCTCTTTTGAGTTGTTGATAAGAGTGTAATTTACTACCCAACGAGGAACTACATAGAGGGGTCCGGGCAAATCCTAAGCTGAAGCCTGCGGGCTTTCTTGTTTTGGGAGTTGTTGTTTGTTTCAAGAAGGTCATGCATGGCTAGATAGCAATTCGTTTCCAACTTCAATTCAAGGGTTGTTAAGTTCCGAGTTACATCCTAATCCCTACCCGGACCCCCAACAGTAGGCAAAATGATAGCCCAAAACCCTAAATATAGCCCA